CCCCCTCCAACCCTCTCTCCAACCAACACACACACAAGCATCCTCCATCCCGCCTATTCCTCCTCGTTGATAAAAAAAAGAAAGAAAGTAGCCCTTTGAAACAGCTGAAGGAGAGACCTTGGTTGTTTGTTAAACAGCTAAATGTAAAAAAAACACAGGTCAAATGCGAAACAGATACGGAGAATTCATTAAGCATTTTTATTTATTTGCTTTTTAATGGGAGGGGACGCTGTTGGTGGACCATTTATCAGCGCTTGGTCATAGTTATGGTCATGGTTATGGACATGGTTTTGGTATTTGTGTAAATAAAGGCAGTTGATGTGATAATATCATAAGTGGATGGCGCAGAAACAGCCAAGAGGCGTAAGACTGCATTTCTAGACACCCCCTTTCTGTGTCACCAGTAAACATACAACCATTATTGATATTTACTAATAATAGTTTTATGCGGCAACTTTAGCTTCACAGACAAACTGCAAGTCTTGACCCTAACTTACGTCACAAGCGTGACTATTCTTTACGAAGTAGTTATTGAGGTTAGATCCGAATATTGAATAATATGGTTTATCTGGATGTCGAGGGGTCATGGGCAATGAGCAGGGGGGGGGGGGATATTGTAATTTGGTGATATACAGTACAGAGAATGGAGTGATACATGTATTATTGACTAGCAGCCTGGGATTTTCATATCAGGTAAAAGGCGTGCATAATTATCAGAAAAGAGATTAGAGCAAAATCAAATCAATCACTCAATCATATTTCAAAATTTAAAAGGTATTCTACTGGATATATCTTTGAATGGGATAATGTCTTAATATTCTATATTACCACTACCTCTGTTGTACAATATTAGTATGCAAGATAGTAACTCAGCAGCCCATCTACTTTGTAAGTCAGGGTAGACTAGTACTGACTCTCTTTGAAAGAATGTTTAATTACATGGGAAAGGACTGGAAAGGAAAAAACACAGAACAGGAGAAAAGATCGGGGGGCGGGGGGGCGTAGGGGGAGTAATCGAGACAGCAGCTAACCAGTAATGTCACC